AAGCTTTTAGGGGGCTGCTGAGGTGGGCTGGGGTCTGGCTGACCATGATCTCAGTCCTGGTTTTGTAGCTCTGGAGAAATCCTTATGGCTCGAGGGGCACTTCGGTTCCTGAGAGATGACTGCTCATCTCAGTCTCAATTGTACGATGGCTCTGCTGGAACCCAAGGTGACTGCAGATTTAGGCAAGGGCTGGAGTCTCCCAGGCTCCCATTCCAGGGTGTAAAAGCCAGTACAGTGGTTGAACGTCCTAGCAAATTTCTTATCTTCATGCCCTCAGTATACATAGGAACTGCTTGACTTTGTAAACTCTGCTCACATTGAAGAAGATTACGTCTTGGATAGAATCATCTCTCTGGACTCAGTGTAGAATTCCAAGGTCTGGCAAGAGAAAGCCCAAATTCACTGTGTGTCAAGTTAACCTTAAATGTGAAGTAATTCAGTTGCCTCTTCGGTCCCCCTCATTATTACCGTGAGGCCTGTTTTGCAACACTCCTCCGTGAGACAGCCAGCAGGGGAGGAGGTGGGTGGCACTGGGCCGGCCTGTACGGGTGAAAGGTAATGAGTTAATGACATTGGTGGTGGTGTGCACAGAGGGGCCTCATCAGGGAGGTGCCAGTGGACTTCCAGCTGCCAAGGCCTGCGTGGTTGAGAGCACAGCACTGGAGTCTGCGAGGGCTCCTGCAGGTGTTCTTCAGCTCTTCCTGGCATTTGAGCTCACAGCACAGCTGGAGACGCGCCTCTGTGGGTCTAAAGTATCATTAATGCTGTCCAATGCTCCCCAGAAGGCTTGGGTTTGACAGTCCAGTGAGGCTGGTGGGTTCTTTCTATTGTAAAGTCAATAGTAATGACTCCAGTAGGTGGAAGGCAAAGGATAGCTTACTGCAGAGGGCAAGTTTATTGAGTGCCCAGTTGTTGTTTGGTACCCTGAGGGGCGGGTGTTAATTAAATGGTATACAGGGGGTGGGAGGTGAGCATTTCTCAGCTTAGGGAGGGAAGGGGAAATCCAGCACTCTCTTCCCCCACAGATTCAGGAAGATGAAAAAAAGAACTTCATCTCTATCTGTTTCTTTCTTGCTTGCTTTTTCTTTCTTTCTTTCTTTCTTTCTTTCTTTCTTTCTTTCTTTCTTTCTGCAACTTGTCTTAGATATTTTGCAACTTGTCTTAGATATTTTGAATGTGCAGCTAAAAAACTATAATTTCCACTGGAGAATGGGCTGTAGTTTATTTAGTTGGCAATTCCTTGTAGGGCAACAACTCTCAACTTTTTTCTCTACCCTCACCCCCCCATGTCATAGATGATGGAAGAGGTTCACATACCATGATTTGTAACCCAAGGGTTCATGTGTTGGAGGACTGGTCCCCAATGTTGTTATATAAGAGTCACTGGAAACTTTAAAGGGTGGTGCCTCATAAGAATGATTACCTCATTGGGGGACTGCCCTGGAAGGGAGTAATGTGAGTTACTTCCCCCTGAGAATGAGTCATTATGAAAAGAGACTGGCCTTTGACCTGTCCCTCTCCCAAGTCTTCTCACAGTACCACACACCACATTCTGAACAGAGGTCAAACAGATGGGTCTGCCCAATCTTGGACTTTTAGCTTCTCAACTGTGAGTTTTTATAAAAACTCTCTTTTCTTTATATAATCCCTGCCTTGTTTTTTTTATAGCAACAAAAATGGACACACTGCTCTGGAAATACAGAGTGGTGCCTGGCTCCTGGGATCTCAGTCTGTCCTGCTCTTTCCCTCTTGGGAATGCATATTAGCGTGTAAATAAAGATTGACTCCTGCTATTATTGGTTCAGTCTTGAACTCAGGCTTTAAAACTAATGGATAAATCACTGTTGGTCTTTCCAGTTTAATTATTATCACTGTTATACATCTTGGAACACGCTCACAACTGGTCTTCACACGCTTCCTTATTCATGTCCTGTCGCACAGAAAGGAAAATCACTGTTCTAATCATGAAATTGAGTGCTCCCTTACAAATAGCTATTTGGCCATTCTGATTTTAAACTCTAGGCTCCCTGTGTATAGGAAAAAATAAATAAATCTTCCAAGTGGGCCACCTGGCTTCTGGAAGTAGCTTGAGTGAGCCCTAGTCCTGTCAGGAGTTGTGGGGCTCAGTTAAAGGCTGCATCCAGATCCCAACTACCTGGATTTATCTACCTACCCACCAAGAGTATGGGAAAGGCCCATAAAAATGGAAAAATGTGTTTATTCACAATCTAACCAAATTGGGAGGACAGATAGTCTGCCGCCTTCCAGTGCAGAAGTGCAGAGAAGTACTCCAATTTAAAGAAGGGGTGGAACAAAAGCCAGGAAATACGCATATGTAGATTTAGCCAGACTTTGGCCCACCAGAAGGGCCCAGTAAATGTTGAATCCTTCTTGGGGACAGAGCTGGAGAGGTGGCAGTTTCCACTCAGGGTGAGAAAGCTGGAGAAATAGCTTATTTTTAAAAAATCTTAATTTTTAAAGCTCAATTTTAACCTCTTGGTGAATTAGGAATGGAAAAGTGAGGAAATTCTGCTTTTAGGTGTGCAAATTGAAAAAGAGGAGAGTGGCTATTTCAGGCACGAGAGGTGGCCAATGTGAGGGTGCCCTTCTGAGTCCAACCATCCTGGCATTTGTGCCAATTCAAAGTATGGAGTTGAATCGGTGCCACTTGTGGTTGAGATCCCGGAGGAGAAAGCCTGACGGAGCAGACTTCACGTAGGCAAAGTGTTCATGCCTCATTCATTGCACAAAGGTCAGGCCAGGGGACACTGTCCTGGGCTGTCCAGGGCTGCCTGGGTGCCAGGTCTCAGCAGAGGTGTGTGTCTGGGGTCTGTCACCAGCCATCAAAACAGTCTCAGTGAGGCATTTGCCTGCAGAGGGCTGCCAGACAGTGCAAGGTGTGTTTGCTTGCTCACCCGTGGAAAGGCGGGTTAGTTTGAGAGTGGGCTCCATGTGTTAGTGAGAGTGCGGATAAAGGTCCACTACTCTACAGGCGAGTGGAAATTAATACAGGCTTTAGGGAGCACAGTCTGACTACACTGTAGGTGTGGGTGTTTATCTGGGCCTCATAAGGAGCAGGTGACCAGCAAGATAAATGCAAAACTGTATTAGAAGGAATCCCTCCATGAACGAACGTAGGGAGGAAGATGGGGAAGGCCGGTAGAGCCATCAGACTAGAAGCAAATTTGACCTTCCATGAGAATAGAGTGTAGGTGTCTTTGATGGTCCTTAGTTCAAGGCAAGCTCAGCAAGTTGTTATGCATCCTTAAACCATAGTCGACAAACAGCAGCAGCAGCTCTGCCTGATGCCCCGCCTCACTCCGTCATTCCCAGAGAACCCAAACTGAGGGGCAGATTTTAAAACCAAAGCTGGGCACAATAGTCAGTCAAGGATCTTATGGTGGGAGATTGCCTGGCTGTTGCAATATGCATGCCCAGGACATGGGCCAGTAGTGGTAAACTCTGGACGCTAGGGTTGTGGGATGTGTGTACACACACACACACACACACACACACACACACACACTTATTTTTGCAGTCCACTTGTGTTCTTAAAAAATTGACTTTATTGAGACATAAATGCATAAAAATTTCTCAAGTTTAATGTACAGAAATTTCATGAGTTTGGACACATACATGCACCTATGATACCATTACCTCAATCAAGATAATACATATATCCATCACTGCCCAAAGCCTACACATTATTTTTATAAGGAAAAGTAATCCTGTTTTTAAAATATTCATGCAGTTTAAACTACTAATGCCACTTCTAGGAATACCTCCCCAAGGAAATAATTGAACATGTGCGCAGAGATGCTTATCACTGTGCTATTTATAACAGTAAAAATTTACATGTGACCCAAATGACTAACAACGTAAGATGTGTGTTATTTAGATGAATCTATACAACGGGATCCTGTACTTCATTTACAATGATTATATGGGTGATATATATTCATTGTCATAACCATCAGTTATCCATCTGCCCTTCCACCTATCTTTTCAAGGGTAGAGGGAGAGCCTGGCTATCTATCTGTCTATCTATCTATCTATCTATCTATCTATCTATCTATCTATCTATCATCTATTATCTATCTATCATCTATTATCTATTACCTATCTATCTTTCATCTATTATCTATCTATCATCTATCTCCTCTCTTTTATAATATTTTTCTGTCATACCCATCTATCATTTGTCTACTGCCTGTTATTGGCCACTTATCTCTTTTCTGTCTGTCTGTCTGTCTGTCTGAGTCAGGGATCATTATCAGGTGTAGTTTCCTGGCTTCCTGCCTGCAGCATCTCGGTAGTGACAATAAAGGAGAGGTTGAGGCATCATGGCAAGCAGATATAACAGAAGACACACATACTTAAAGTAGATGCAGTGATAGTAGAATCAGAAAAGAAAAGTAAAAGTAAAAGCCTTTGGAGAATCTCCTGCTTTCTGAAGCAGGAAAATGAGTAATATGGCTCACGTATCTCCACCCAAAATGGAAAAACAGATCATTCTGACATTCGAGGCATACATTTCAGTTTTCTAGGAAAGTCACAGATGCAAAACTCCTCATTTCCCAAAGCTGCCTGATAAGTCAGAGTCAGAGCTGGAAATGTCCGTGTCTCCATTCTACAGAGAAAACTGAAACAGAAGTCACGCTGCTCCTGTGAGGCCATACAGTAAGTGGCAGTGGTGGGATTTGAACCCACACTTGGTAATATGAATCCATGTGTGGTAACATGAAAATGCACCCCAGGAAGGGCCAGAAGGTCATGTTCAGCCTCAGCGGTGAACTGCTGCTTTACCTGTTTGGTGACTGAGTAGGGCATGGGCCTAAAGGCCTAAACTCTTCAGCACCATGTGGTCTGTTCTGATGGCCAGTGCTCGCCCCGTCTCCCTGCCAGGTTGGCTAAGACCAGCAGCGGCACATGTCCACTCTTCCTCTGCCCTCAGTTCCCAGCTCCCAGTCCCAAACAAACATCCTGCACTCCAGAAGGTCTCAGCAGCTGCTTCCAGAGAAGCCACTGCCACCGCTGGCCCCGGAGCAGTCTGGGGAAGGAGGTGAGAGGACAGGACAGTGGCACAGTCACTGGCTGCCCAGCTGGCAATAAGGATTCGTGACGGTGGAACACAGCCTCTGGCACACAGTGAGGGCCCAACTGTCAGAACATTCTGGGGTGAGCTGGATGCGGAGTGTGCCAGACAGAGGGAATGAGTCAGCTAGCAGGGTGACCCAGAGCGTCATCGAGACGGGCAGGGAAAATAGCAGCCACAGGATAGCTAGACTGGCCGGCTATCGCCCAAGAGCTGTTTAGTGCTTTACACGAGAGAGCGCGGCCAAGGCAAGCATCAGCGCTTCCTTCAGGGGTGGAAGCCCTCTCCGGCTGTGCAGAGAAGTCTCCTGTGGCAGAGGGAAGACCAGGCCCAAGGCTCAGAGGAGCTCAAATTCAAAGGCAGTTGGTTACGCCAAGTCAGGACCCTGGCACATGAGATGGAGTTGCCGTGGTGGTGCCCCCAAAGCTGCTGCGTCCCCAGATCCTTCTGAAGCTTTTGAGGTGGCAGACATGGGCTCCTCCATTCCTGGGCTCCCTCATCCCTGGCTTCCAGCTGGGTCCGCCCAATAGAAGGCAAGGGGAAGGGAAGGGGGAGCCACTGGGTGTCTGTTCCCTGGCCTGCTCTAGGCTGCTTGTTGGCAGTGGTTATTCTGGAGGAACTTTTCCTTCAGCGACAGCCCTCTCCAAGTTCCCACAGCACCATCTCTCCTCTGCCCCTTTAAGCCTACGGATGGTAATCTTTGCAGAAGTCTTCACTAACAGCCATTCTTAATCCTTCTCATTCCTTGAAAACATCCTTATTATTTAACTCTCTTCCAAGACCTCTTTGTGAATTTCATCAATTCTTAGCTGAAACTCACTGTAAAATTCACAGTGGGTTCTGGCATCAGATAACCTTGGGTTTCAATCGACCTTCCTGACTTAGACACTGAATTAGCTGTTAAACCTACTTAGTCCTCTCTATTCTCAATTTTCTCATCTGTAAAATGGGCTCAATGGTAGGTTTCATTATTTTTACTAAATGACGTAACTTATGTCAAGGGCTATGCATCATGTTGGCAATGGGTGGTACTTGATAAATGACTGCAATGATCATTTCTTTATTGTTTCTACAGTGTACAACACTACACCCATGATTTCACCTGACTCCTACAACAATCCCAAGGACGGGATGTTTTAGCAGACCCATTTGTCAGATGAGGACCTGAGATTCAGAGAGGCTTCGGATGTCAGTGAGGTCCCCCAGTGAGACAGGTGCCGTGACCTTCAAAGTTACTACCATATGGTTCTTCACTCCCTCCTTCTCTCCCTGCTCTCCCAGTGTCAACCCCCAAGGCAGAGCACGGTGAACTGCAGCCCACCCACCTCCTGCACTCACGTAGCCTGAAACTTGATCAATTTTACATGATTGGAAAAAAGTCAGAATATTTTGTGACACCTGGCAATTCTATGAAATTTGGATGTTAGTGTCCATAAGTAGAGTTTAGTTGAGACACATGGCCACACTCCTACGTCAAAGGAGGCTTTCACTCAATAATGGTAGAATGTAGTAGTTGCAACAGAAATTGCGTGGTTCATGAAGCCAAAGCAATTATTATTTGTCCCTTTAGAGAAAATGTTTTGTGATCCCTGGGATAGGAAATTGCTTCTCCAAATCCTTTTATATTTGCCAGTGTTGTCTGCTCTGACAAGGGAACCCAGGGAGTCACATACTATCATTTCCATTAAAATGGTAATAGCTCCCATACACTGGGCTCCTACTGTGTATCAGGCTCTTTTGGTTCAACATCTCTCTGTCTCT